GACAACAAAACGAGCTAGTCCTTTACTGGATCACAGCAGTACCTAAAATCTTCCATTAAACTAAATGATGAAGAACTAAACCCTAAGAAGCAAGACTCACTACAAGTTAGTGTTGAGATGTCAGGACCATCCTGTAAGAAAACAGTCAATTCACATTATCATTCCAGTTCAAATGTACTCATTCACTTGGCAAACATTTATTAATAAGTAGTTCATTTTAAATTCCAATAATGGGCAACTAATGAAATACGTAATTAAAGAGGAAAATGGCCTGATTTTAAATGTCCTCATTACTCTTTCCTTTTTTCCAACTCTACTTTTAGCACCAAAAGTTGTTATTAATGATATTAGGTCTTTGAGTGGCTGAAATATGGGTCATTTCATTAATTAAGAACAGAGGTAGTGATGAAGACCTGTTTTAGCCCCATTTCATCAAAATGGCTAATTACTACATGAAATTGATTTCGATACCTGCACTAAGAATGTGATCCTGGATTCAGGAGCAAGCCGTTTAAGATAATGACTTACCAGCCTTGGGGCTCTGAAGTCAAGCAGGATGGCCATATGGTTTTTATGAGAGGAAGACTTTTAGGGATAAAGAAGCGTTTTAAGGTAATTGTAGCTCATTAGGAATAAAATCATCATGGAAAAACCATACAGCAGAACCTAGGTCTCTCGATTTCCCATCCATTGCTCTTGCCACTGACACTTGATCGACCCCTTTTGCTAATAATCTTGGTGTAAAGTGGTGAGGTTGGGGCCAGCGGGAGTAAGGATTTCCTCAGTGTTGTAGGTTGGGCTAAAGACCCCACAGGGATTAATCTAACAATATTCAAGAACAACTAATATTTCTTGAGTGCTTACTATGTGAACTCTTCTAAGAACGTCACATGTATTAAGTGATTTAATCCTCCCAAGAATCCTGAGGTAGGTATTAGCATCTGTATCACTTACACAAGGAAAAAACTGAGGCACAGGTATGCTAACAGTATGCCTAACGTCACATGGCTTATAAATGCAAATCCAGGATTGTAGCCTTTTTGATCCAATTCCAAAATCTGTGCTCTTAATGCAACGCCACGTTGCCTCATAGTTTTTCTTTCTGTGCCCTCTTCCCCTCATAGAAGCCATACTGTAGATGGACTTTTGAAAAGTTATGAATAATTCATGAGAGTTCACTTCAGTCACGCAAACTGGCCTTGGCCCACGATCAAAAGTCAGTCACCTTCTAATCAGGGTGATTTTCTTCAAAATGAACTACATTATTCTTTCTTTCTTTTTATTGATTTTCTTTCTTTTATTGATGCTCACCTGTGCCATAAGAATCATTTCCAGGATTCTTCCTGTCTACTTAGCAGTGCATTCGTTGGTTCTTTATTTTATAGGGAAGATGGGGGGAAAACAATCTTATTACAATAAAGATGGTGGTTAAGAATGATGGTGTTAGCAGCAACTAACTTTTACAGAATCTTTACCATGAGCTAGGCACTGTACCAAGTGCTTATATACTCTGGTCCATCTACTCCTCCTAAGAATTTTACAGTAGGTGCAATTATGATATATATTTTATAAATGTGAAAACTGAGGCTTAGAAAGGTTAAGTAATTTGCCCAAGGTCACAGACAAAGAATAGCAAAGAGCAGTTACAGAACTCCAACTCAGATCTAATTCTAGAGTCCACATCTTAATGTATTTAGTTATAGCTGCCACTCTTAATCTAGTGGAAAAAATAAGTACTCTGAAGTAATCCACAACCAACACTATGCTGTTTTCCTGACCTCACCAAAATAACCAGACTGAGATCAAAGACCTACATCATCTACAATTAATTTAACCAAGATCCTGGAGCTACCATTTCTCTCTGAAAAATCCCATGGGTCCTACTCAGGGTTGTCACTCGACTCTCTCTTTGGAAAACTCTCTCCATCACTCTGAGCCTGACTAAATTAAAACTTATCCTTCAGGGTGACTAAGGAAAGTTAAAAGATGTATAAATATAAACTCTAATACATTATAACTAAGTGGATGTAGTCCAGGAAGACAAGGATGGTTTAAAATTTGAAAATTGAAAACCAATGATTATAACTCACCATATTAACAAACTGAAAACAAACAAACCATACAAACATCTCAACAGCTGCAGAAAAAGCATCTGGCAAAATCCACATCCACTTCTGATAAAAACTCAAAAATCCAGGAACAGAAGGAAACTTGCTCAAGCTGATAAAGGGTGTCTTTGAAAACATGATAGCTAATATCATAGCTCACAGTGAAAAGTTTAATGTTTTTCCCCTAAGATCAAACATTAGGTAAGAATGTCTGTTCTTACCATTCCTATTTAACAATATGCTGGTGGTTCTAGCAAATGCAATAAAGCAAGAAAAAGTAATGAAAGACATCCAGATTTAAAAGGAAGAAGTAAAATTGTCTATATTCATAGGCAGTATAACTATCTACGTAGAAAATACAGTAAAATTTACAAAAATATTACTAATATAGATGAGTTTAACAAGGTTGCATGACACAAGATAAATATACAAAAACCATCTGTACCATGTAAATGTAGACATTAAAAACATACATTCAAAGATATTGTAAAAGAATAAACTGGGAAGCTTACAAAAATTTAAAATAAGCAAGAAAAATGAAATGTTAACGTAGACATTCATACACATGGCACTAGAATATTTTCGTGTTCATGCTTAAAACGTTTTTTCAAGCTTCATTTTTTCCACTTATTCTTGAGGAAAAATCTTCTGGTCTTAATTCTTACAGAGTAAATGGAGTTCCAATTAACGAAAGTGCCATTTGTCAGAGACATAACTGGTGGCATTTAGGGTTTTGAGATAGTGTTGCACAAAAACAGATTCACCTGTTTTTCATGGAACTCTGGTTCCCCAGCAAGAGGATTCAGATAACAGCTTAGATTAGAGAAAAAAATGTGGGGCTACAGACAGGTGGGTATATGAACATTTTAAAGTACCAGGATGACCTGGGTCCATGCTTTTAACTTAAAATTAAAATTAGAATTTTAAGATAAATTTGTTCACATCTTGTTATAAAGGTAGGTGCAAGGCATAAAGTGAACTCAACTCTATGAACCACCTAAATAACTATATTAAATATTCTAAGAAATACAGAAGACACAAACACCTACAAAGTCACACATACACATAATGTAAAGAGATTCTCTTTAGGTCAGCGGTTCCCAAACTTTGATGTATATTATCATAACCTTGAGAGCTTTAAAATCCTGATGCCCAGGTCACATTCCAAAAAAAAAAATCAAATCAGAATAAGGTGAGTGAGGAAATAGGCATCAGTATTTTTTATAGATCCCAGATGATTCTAGTGTGCAATAAAGTTTGAGAACAACTGTTTTAAGACAAAGTTTGACAATGCCTCTATTATCAAATTAATAACTTAATTTGGAGCCATTACACGTGGTTTTCAGTCTCTAGCTGCCTAGACTGACTGAAGTACCATAGGAAGCTTCTTGCAATAACAATCAGCAAAATGCCATCTTTGCACACGGATAGAAAGACAGACGCTGAAGTGCTGGAGACACTAAAAATACATGATTTGAAGAAAAAAGGGGAGAGAGGTGGTATTCGACTTCCAAACTCCTTAAAAAGGTTACTCATGAAATGCCAAAGAGAAGAATCATTCTCTGAGATTGGTGCTTTGCTCACAAAGCACACACTATATACCTAGAACGCTGGGAATGCTTCCATTCCAGTCTACCACAATCTACCCCCCATTTATAACTCTCACCTTAACCTCAATAGAAAAACCAGAAATTTATAGGAATCTCAGATAAATTAAGAGTGTGCTTCCAGACTTACCTGCTAGAAAAGATATATACCCCACCGTGGCTCATAGGACAACATAGGTCTCTCAGAGGGTAAAGGTACAGCAGATGGAATATGGGTGACAATATGTCATTTACAGCCTCTGCTTCTTGTGCTACTTCTCCCCATGCCTGTGTCCAAGGCTTCAAGGGGGACAGGTGTGTATCAGCAGAAGTAGGGGGTGGGGGGGTCTAGGTCAGTGGTAGAACATGTGCTTAGCATGCATGAGGTCCTGGGTTCAACCCCCAGTATCTTCGTTCAAAAAAAAAAAGCAGAAATGGATGGGGCATTTTGGGGCTAATGGACCCATAAACCTGCAGTTACAACACCAGGAAAGAGCTTAGAGACTTGACTTACCTTATGGCACATGTAGGAGCCACCTTTCTTCACTCTGTCTTTCCCAGAAGGGGGGCCTTTCTGTGGATGAAGAGAATGCGTTAGTCCAGAGAGCACAGCTGCCCTCCCACAGTCAGAGGGTCTAATTTAGTCCAACCAGCTCTCTCGGGGTTGCCTAAACTCTCCACACATATTTCGGCCCCTGGGTCTTGCACCAGCACCCACACACCCTCCCTAATGCCCACCCCTCCAAATTCTACATCCCCTGAGGTCCAGCTCAAGTGCTCACCCTTTGATGAAATCTCTGTGACCACCTTAAGCAATCCAACCCCTAAACCCCACAGTGTTTCTCACCCAGATGCCTAATAAGCTGCGTGGCAGCATCTCTCACATCCCCTTCTCGCACTGACAGGCCAATTGATCCTGTGTTATAACTGGCCTGCTCAACCAGACTGGCAAGCCTCTTTGAATTACATTTTTAAAATCCTACTGTGCAACATCGAATAAATCCTTTGCTGACTGAATAAATGAATGCACTTTTTATCTTTTTTTAAAATTTAGATCAGGTTTACTGAGGTATAATTTATACATAGTAAACCTTTATACTTTTAAAACTTTCAGATGCATACTTCTGATGAGTTTTGACAAATGTATAGTCATGTAACCATGACCACAATTAAGATACAGAACATAGTTTATCTTTGTCAAAAAAATTTACATAGTGCTTATTATGAACCAGGCATGGTTCTAAGTAGTTTGCAAGTATTAATTGATGTAATTTCCATTAACAACTTCTGAGGCAGGTTAAGCAAGTGGCAG